ATTTCCTTCCAGCCAAGTTTACCGGAGGGTTTCCTTCCAGCTGGCAAGGTACATGTACCTCTCTGGCTGGAAGGAAACCCCACTTTCATACTCTTGGTCTCGGGTATCCTTGGAGATACCCGGATATCTGCCAGGATTTTGGGGAAAAGCGGCCATCTGCACCCAAATCCTTATCCCCTGGCGGGTATCCATTGGTGCTAGGGGGTATCCGCCAGTGGATAACGGGTATCCGCAACGGATACCCTGAGACCATCTCTAATTTTATTCATAAGCTTCAAAAAGTTGGGAGACATTGCACATGAAGAAAACCAACAAAACTGTCTGTTCAAAATTTTGTGAAAAGGTGATGTTTTTTTTTTAAAAAATAGAAAGTGGATTTGGGACTGAAAATCCCTCCTGTCTCTGCAAGCTTTCTAACATAGTTCATAAGCCTCTCCTACAGAGAGTGCTCCGCGTGTGGTCCCCCGACCCTCCGTTCGAGGGGATTTGTTAAGCTAGCACAAGGCAAGGTTTGTAGAAACCTTATTACACACTCTCTTTGCTAAATTGAGCCCGTGGTGTGCACACACCCTTGATTCCAGCATGGCGGCAAACCAAAGCGTGTGTGGATCAGCATACCATTTCATAGACCCTGCGGGACTGCCCGAGGCTTGTGTTGGGCTCGCAAAGCTGTCAGCCGCGGCTTGGACCCAACTGCCGATCCGTTGTGTGGGTGTGAGATCAAAGAAGCAATAAACTCTTTGTTATATCTGAGCTCAGTCGGAAGGGCGATTTTCAGATTTCAGATTGTATCACTGCTGCAGGAAATCCGCCTCTGACAACCCGGCTTGTGCCGTAGAGGACTTGATTGAAAAGCTTTCCCTTTCCCTTTCCAGACATGGCCTATTGATTTTTCCTCAGTTGCATTTTTTTTTCTTCTTCATAAATCGCAATCTCGAGGCACATAACCATTGTTCGCGTATTTTGATCTACTCTCAAGACATACTACATACTCTAGTCTGACTCACTTCAGGTCATTGCCACTTTCCTTAACATTGACATCTGTAATCTGCGCAATTTCTCCAAGCCAGTATCTTTGATGAGTAAACAACTCTCCAGCGATAGCATTTTCGGTGCAATTCCCCCCGGTGTTAATCCTTTTGATTATCTCCACAACGTCATCACTCCTCAGTTCCTCGTGCCGTTCTCCAGGCTTACCACAGCCATATTAGCAATTTTTTTCATCTTCCATCTACTGATTGCAATATTTTGTCTCGCGCTACTGGTATTACCCTACCTGCGTGGGATTGAACAATATCAATGGCTTTTCAAGAGGGTGTACATCAGAAATTACTCTGGGCAAAATCGTTGGTTTACAACATTATATAGCTTAAGCGCTGCAATGTTATTCATCTGATTCTAATGCAGTGTTTTATCTTTTTTCGGTTCCAGTTTACAACACCCCTTTGCTCCTTGTCAATACCGGCATGATAATGGCGATATCACAGTTCATGGGCTCCATAGCTGCTCAGGCATTCATTTTGGTTCTGTTCAAGGCCTCGCACTCCACAAAATATGCGCTGAATTCGCCTCTCGCATCACCGTAAGCTTCATACAACAAGATTCATTCTATTTCCCTCTCAAAATTGAAGAAAATTACATCGCAGATGATTTTATGTTTGCCATATAATGCTTGAATGATTTATTTACTAAACTAGGATGGGTATCATGTTTATGTGTGAAATTCTTAATTACTGGAGCTTGTCGCATTATTTTTTGGTTACAATGTCAGCTAGTTTGCTTTCTTTCCAGAAAGATCAGATCTACAGCTGCCTTTAGCTGACTGGATTGACTGGATATCATACGCACGAACTTGGAATCTGGGGCGCTTAACAGTTACTATGACCATAAGACTCATGGACATATCTCAAAAGGTGCAAGGACATGGATTTCGCCACCGGCTTTGATCAATTTCGTATTCTTTAGTTTCCCTATCGGTGTCATCGCTGCCACTATTGCTCTCTTCGCATGGTTATCTTCAGGCGCCACCCAATTTGTAGCTGGGGCAGTCAAGGTTCTGGACACTTTGGGGCGAGGGTCGTCAGTGTGGGATCAGCTGAAAGTTACATCAACGTCCGGCGAAGAAAAATTTCTTCTCACAAGCCAACTTCTCCAAGTTGTATCAGACGCAAAGAACTTCAGCAATGACGTCAGCATTCGGTTGGAGAATTTGATAACCTGTTTCCGCGTTGTCCAATGTGTGTTATTAATCATCATTCTCATAACCTCCCTAGTAAGCGAGATGAGTTTTTTTTTTCTTTTTTTCATGGGAAGCCTATCCAACAGATCAAGGCCGCTAGCTATCTGGTCTAATTTCTCCTGATATTATCGTTTTTCTAGGTTTTTGTCAGTTTGTTTTGGGGATTGGTCCGTAAGTTAATGGAAGACCAGCGCCAGTCAGACCGCGCATCATCTCAACCAAACCTTTTACGGCACGAGGATGAGCGAACAAACTCGTGGGGCAAGAGCGCCGAACAATCCGGTAGCAGAAAGCTTGAACTGATCAATATTTTCAACTCAGATTTTCAGGGCCCTTTACTATAACTGAGGAGAACAGGAAATTCTTTTGGGTGATTTACTCTACTATAAACTACCCTAGATGCTGATAAAAACATCTGCGGCGTCTTATGAGAGTCTCTTGACCACAGAAGGGCTCTCTGGAGTTCACTTCATGGCTGATAAAGCTAAGGCCCTTACAATATATTGCAATTGTGGAGCCACAAAAAGTGGCCTATACTATAACAAGCTTGGTGGGAAACACACTGGTTATAGTATTGGTATAGTAAACAGAAATTTGAAGAAACTTTACTATACTGAGAAGGGCCAGTTATAGTAAAGTATAGTATAGACCCATTGCTGTTGCTGGCACATGGGCTGCTATCCCAGTTGCCTCGCAATGCGTGCGTTTTTTCATATTTTATGTTCCTTATAGGTCATGTCTGATGCTGCGGAATTTAACAATTTAGTGGAGGCTATATCAAGAACAGTTGGGCAGGACGCCAAAAACTCTATCAAATCCAAATGATGCTGATGTGATAGGGGTGTCGGCCCGCAAAAGCAGAGATCCTTCGCGTCCTGCACATCACGGTGCAGAAACGTTAGAACTCCAGGTTGAACCCAATCCAAATGCCAGTAGTCTGACGAATAGGTACGAAGAGGCATAGGGTTTCAGTGGTTTCAAAGTAACACCTCAAATTTTACCAAGGCCATTTACCCGATAGACTGAAAGTAAAGGCGTGAATTTATATGACACACTTTCAGTTTTTGCCCCACATGTATCTTTTTGTATCTAAAGCAATTAGTCCAACAACAACTCAAGTTTAATTTATCTTACGCCTCTCAACCTATGTATCAATCTGTTGGCTAAATTTCATACTGAAGGCATCCAAAATGAATGAGTCAATTGTTACATAACCAAAATTTAGTGCTTGTGAGTTTGAATGTCATTATATCTGACAATGATAAATGTTGAAAAAAATAAGGCCTAATCAAACACACATCTTGATTATCGGATATTTTGAGGCAATTGGGAATGGATCCCACAATCTCTCTGGAATTGCTTGTTTCAGGACACCACAAGTCATTAACTATATGCAAACAGCCAATTGTGTCACATCTATATTGTCTGGCCAACATTTGGTGTCAAACTTCAATCCAGCCCCAACATATGATTGAGACTTGAATTCCAAACTTGGAGAATTGAATCTATCATGTTTAGGTTGGGGGAATGGGTACCAAAGTTTTTCTATCAGCTAAAAATTATGTAATTAGATCACTTTCTGCCAGAGTGTTGAAATTCTGTCTCTTACTTCTCATTCCTAAAAACCCTTTCCTCAATTGTTAGTGCTTATACAAATTAATATACATGTTTTGTCCTTGTCTGAGTGGCATCTTATCTTTTTGTCTAGTGCTTAAATCCCCGTAGTCTTTGAACCTGGGTCCAATCTTTATCAACAATAATTTTCTCCTGTCAATGTTTCATTCATGTTTCAAACTGTTATTCATTTTTATATTCAATTTCTTCCCAAAACCACATGTTGAACATCTTGTATGTAGACTACTTAACAACTAGTCTCTGCTAAGTAAAAATATCGTTGGTTCTCTCCTTCATTTTTTGACCCTTTGATCCCGTTCCAACAAAAACCAATTTTGTTGCCAAAAAGTTCTCCTTAAAAAAAAAGGGCCTTAATAAAAAAACCCGCATTTTCTGCGTTTTGACGCGCTTTTGCTGCGGCACAGCACACGCGCAATCCTTGGTTAAACCCGCTTTTTTAATTAATTTTGTTTTGCCTTTAATTTTGATTTTTTTTGATTTTTTAAAATTGTTTCCTACACTAAAAAACGTGTAGAATTTAATGGTAAAGTCCATTTTGCATAAAATGACTTTTGACTCTTAATTTTTTTTTCCACACATTTTTTCCGTTAATTGTTTGCTTTAAGTTTTTTACCTCATTTTTCAAGATTTTGTGTAACTTTAAAGTTTTTTCCTACATTATTAAGTGTGTAGAAATTTTTGGTGAAATCCAATTTTCATAAAAATGAATGGATCATTTTTAATAATGCAATTACACCCATTTTTTCACTTGAATTTTTGGAGCTCAATTTTCATTCTTTTTTCACATTTTAAACTTTTTTCCTACACTTTAAGACATTTATAAATTTATGGTAAAAATTATTTTGAATCAAAGTGAGAACTACATCTTGTATACTGCATTTGACACCGTTTTTTTATTTAATTCTTCACTTTTTCACTCAATTGTTTGCATTAATTTTTTTACCTTATTTTTTCTGCTTTTTTGAAATTTAAAAGTTGTTTCCTACATTTAAAAGTGTTTAGAATTTACTGGTAACATTCAATTTCCATAAAACTCAACGGTTCATTCTGAATACTGTAATCAGCCTTAAAATTCAATTGATTTTTAAGAGCTTCATTTTCATGATTTTTTGACATTTTAAATCTGTTTCCTACACTTTCAGGCATGTATAGAATTATGGTATAAATCAATTTGCATCGAAATGAAAAATGTACCTTGAATAAAGCCTTTGACATGTTTCTTTAATTAATTCTTACACGCTTAATTATCCTTATTTTATGGAATTTTAAGTTCATTTCCTACACTTTGAAACGTTTTCAAATTGTTGGCTGTATCCATTTTGCATTCAAATAAAATTTGTATACAGTACAAATTATGCAAGAAATAGTGTACACTCTTATATTAAGATTGAAGCTTTTCTTTTGAGGCAAAATGAATTGTACCATTAAATTCTAGACACTTTGAGATGTAGGAAATAGATTTAAAATTTCAAAAAATGATTAAAATTGAGCCGGTAACAATTAATTAAAAAAAACTTGAAAAAAACCTGTAACACGCAGTATTCATTACAAATCTTTGGTTTTTATGCAAAAAGATTTTTACCATCATTTTAACCATGTCTTAAAGTGTGGGAAATAAATTTAAAAAGTCAAAAAAGAATGAAAATTAAGCTGTAAAAATTTAAGTGAAAAAAGTGTCTAATTTCAGTATTCAAAGTGAACCGTTGAGTTTTAAAAAATTTGGATTGCGCCATTAAATTCTGAATGCTTTAAGACCTAGGAAATAATTTTAAAACCTCAAAAAAACTTAAAAAATAAAGTACATACATGCATGCAAACAATTACTTGAAAAATGAGTAGAAAAAATAATTAATAATCAAAATTCATTTTTATGGAAAATGGTTTTTACCATTACATTCTACACCTTTTAAAGTGTAGGAAACAGCTTTAAAAAATCAAAAAAACTCGAAATTAATGGCAGAAAAAAATTAATTAAAAAAGCGGGTTTAAACAAGGATTGCGCGTGTGCTGTGCCGCAGCAAAAGCGCGTCAAAACGCGGAAAATGTGGGTTTTTTTATTAAGGCCCTAAAAAAATTTCCCTTCATCGGTCCTAATTTCTTCACAGAGTATAGCTGATCTTGTTGAATTTTTCTCAGTTCTGTCTCTCTCTGCCCTTCATCCCTTTCTAGTCATCAAAAATCAGACCAGACTATACTCATCAAGTAGCTTGTTTTCTGTTGTTATGAAGCCCCTTCTGAGTCAAATATGAACACTAAGTGATCAGCTCTTCTCTACAACTCATGTCTCTGCGATGATTTCTTCTCTTTACTGATCTTTTTGTTTGATTTATTACAACCTGATTAGTTAGAATTAACGACTCTAAATATCTGTGGATTATAACATGTTTTTCATTGCTTAACTCATCTGGCTTGACTAAAAGAGACTGAGAAGCCCTGTCCGGTTTGTTTCTTCCAAAGACTCATGTTTCTTCCTCTCAGTGTTTTATTAAATATGTTTTTTTTATTCATCTTCAATCAACCACATTTTGACACACTTGTATTTGGTCTATTTAAACCTAGCTAGATACTTGTGAATGAAAATCATTGGTTCTGTTGAAATTCTGTAATCCACAGTTTTCTGAATATCAGCACATCAGGCATGGACTTGGTAGCCTACACAGCTGTCACAGGGATGTCGCATGCAGTCTGATGCGACACCCGCGGCAAGGGGCCCCCCTTACTGCGGCTGTTGCATCACACCGATGCGACAGCCAAATGACCGTAGTGCTAGTTGGTAAAGGCAGCACTTCTAGTACAGTGTCTTAGCTTCAAGCTAAGGTCACTGGTTCAAAACCTGCCCAAGTCAATTATTTTCTGCTAACTGTCTGAAAAATGCAATGTTAATTTTAACAGGTTCTTTACACTCTTTCTCCATGAGCCCTTCCCAAAAATAAGACTTCTTTTTTTGCCCCTCAACCCCTTACACACTTTAGTTTTCAATTTCAACAATTTCAACAGATCTTATTGTGGAAAAATGGTTCAGGATTGGAAACTCTCATTACATCAGAGATGTATATTGTACCCTGTCTTGTGTGGATCATTTTTCTTTCTTGTTTCTTTTCCTTTTATCCTGTATTTTGCTGCTTTATGCATTTTCCTTTTTCTTGTTTTTGTAAATCTTTAAAAAAGAATTTGCATGTATTCTGTTTCCTGCAGCTTTTGTAATTTTTTGCCCCATTTTATGAGCTATAGGACATACTTTTGTGATTGGAAGAAGCCCTTATAATTAGCCAACTATCCCCCCAAATTGACCTGGGACCCATCAAAAAGAACATTAGATGACAGACAAGGGTGATGATTGACCTGCCAAAATTTGGGGGTTGATTAAGCAGGTGTATGAAAGAGAGTTTTTTTCAGGAGCCTAATTCATTGGCCCCTTCCAATTGTAAATTAATAAGAATAAATTTAATTGAATCAAGATAATCTACCTAACTTCACATTTGTTACACAAAAACAGTTAAAATCATAGTTGAAGAATAGTCATCCGCTATCTTTTCTACCCCAGGAACACGGGGAGTGATAATCACACTCCACCCCCCTTCGCACACACACTCCAACACTCCCTTCTCTAAGGGAGTGTGGGACCGCACACCAATCCTCTGCGCGGGCATTACCCCAGCAGGTTGGCGTGCAGGTCCACATGCCAATTTCAATTGGCGTGCAAGTCTGCACGCCAACCTCTAAGCAAGGTAGGCTCGCTTACCTTGCTTGCAGGCTGGTGTGCAGCCTTGCCTGCAACCTAAACCCATATAAATATGGGTTTAGGTCAAGCCATACCCCATAGGATCCAGGGATGGTTCCTATGGAGAGACTGTCCAGTTCAAAACTTGAACGGACATGGGTTCAAGGCTTGAACCTTGAAAGCCATTGGCCAAGGTTTGAACCTTGGCCAATGGCCTTGAAGATCCCTGTAGGACCCAGGCCTGGCCCTACAGGAATGTATCTTCCCTTGGAGGCAGGGTTAAGGGGCTCTGCCACCCCGGGCAAAGGCTACATCCTTCTACCTACCTGCCCCTCCCTCCCTCCCAACAATTCCTAGCCTCAACCACCACCTCACTCATCAATCGACCGACCGACTAAATAAAGCCGACCCCAACAAACCGACCGAGCAGCATTGAGGGACCCGTGACCACCTGGACCAGAGCCCCGACCCCAAGAATTGAGAAACAAATCCCTGTAGGACCCAGGCCTGAGTCCTACAGTACAGGGATCTTCAAGGCCATCAACCAAGGTTCAAACCTTGGCCAATGGCTGTCAGGGTTCAAATAAAACCAATTGCTGTAGGACCCAGGCCTGGGTCCTACAGGGATCTTCAAGGCCATTGGCCAAGGTTCAAACCTTGGCCAATGGCTGTCAGGGTTCAAACCTTGAACCCATGTCCGTTCAAGGTTTGAACTGGACAGTCTCTCAGGGATGGGTCCTATGGGATATGGCTTGACCTAAACCCATATTTATATGGGTTTAGGTCGCGGACAAGGCTGCACGCCAGCCTGCAAGCGAGGTAAGCAAGCCTACCTTGCTTAAAGGTTGGCGTACAGCCTTGCGCGCCAATTGAAATTGGTGTGCGGACCCACACACCAACCTGCTGGGGTAATGCCCACGCAGAGGATTGGCGTGCGAGTCCGCACGCCAATTTTCATTGGTGTGCGGTCCCACACTCCCTTAGAGAAGGGAGTGTTGGAGTGTGTGTGCAAAGGGGGGTGGAGTGTGATTGTCACTCCCCCTGGAACACCTAGTGCGTTGATAAACACACTGTCAGCCTGCAAGTACCTTTCACAATACCTGTCACCAGCTAATGTTCCAGTTACTACACAGACTACAATATTCATCCTCTCTTTATGCTTATACAGTATTATGCATTGTACATACTATATAAGCTTTGTTCTCTTGTATTTCTATGTTAGTCAGAAATCCAAGAAGAGATGACATTTACCCAAAAAAGTATTCTATTCCTCTTAGTCCTGACATACCTCTAGGATCTACGGTCAAGACAGCTACTCAAGTTATATTGCGCAGATCCCTGAACTAGTGGAAAGCTTGGAGTCAAACTTTCTTTAGTTATATCTGTGAATCCCTGAACCTGAAGAGCCTTGAAATTCTCAAAACTTCTCACTATCCCGTTTTTGGAACAGCAACCCCTCAAGGTAGCTGGTTCTTACTCAATAGCTGACACGCACACCCTCCGCACGCCCACACCCCCGCCCCTCCAAAAGGGGTGTGCAGTCCCAGAAGAAATTTTAACCGGAGATGAAGAGAATTTGAGAATTTTTGGGCAACAAAAACAAGTTTTTGTTGGAGAGGCTCAAGGATTGGAAAAAGAGAGAAAGAGACAATGGTTTTTACTTTCAAGCAGAGCCTATGCATTTAATAGACTATGTACAACAAGTTAGACATGTGGTTGAGAAAAAATTGAATATAGAAATGAATAACAGTTTAGCATATGCATGTAAGATTTGACAGGAGAAAATACTCATCAATAAAGACTAGACCCAGGTTCAAACACTACAGGGATTTCAGCACTAGATAACAAGAAAAGATTCCACTCAGACAAGCACAAAACATAGCTAAAACATATTTTTTATTTTTTATAATCAATGAATTATGAAATTTGGGGAACATGGATTTTTAGGGATGAGAAGGAAGAGACAAAATTCCGACAATCCCACCCGCCCGTCTCTGAGGGACGGGTTTGATTGCACGCCCCTCGGAAGCCTGATTTTCTGAGGAATCAGGCTTCCAAGGGGCGTGCAATCAAACCTACCCCTCAGAGACGGGCGGGTGGGATTGCACGCCAACCACCTGATAGGTCATGGCAGGCTGATGTAAGCAAAACACTCTGGACTGTTTTTCTTACGTCAGCGCGCCAATGACTCTTTCCTCCCGGACTTTGAGACCTGTACAAGTCTTGATGGCCGGGAGGAATCCCTCCCATCCATCAAGACTTTTACAGTCTTGATGGCTGGGAGGGATTCCTCCCACTAGTCTTGATAGCTGGGAGGGGTTCCTCCCAGCCATTGAGACTTGTACATTCTCGATGTCCGGGAGGGATTCTCCTGGTCTTCGAGACTTGTACAGTCTTGAAGACCGGATGGAATTCCTCCCGGCCATTGAGACTTGCACAGTCTTGATAGCCGGGAGGGATTCCTCCTGGCTCTCCAGACCAGGCGTGCAGGCAACCCACCCTTTTTTGGGCAGGTTGTACTGCATGCCCCTCTTGTTGCAAATGTCAGCAAACAGAGGGGTGTGTAGCAAAACCTGCCCCTCAGAGATGGGCGGGTGGGATTGCAAGCCCCTTTTGGAGGGGTGGGGGCATGGGCGGGTGGGAAGGGGGAGGGAGTGCATTTATCAATGCACAAACACCTATGGTGTTCCCCACTCTTCCTTCTCCCCATCAGTTAAAAACTATACCAAAAGCTGGTGTGGGATACTTTATAGGTACCCATCTGAACCACTTTCAAAATTTATAGTTTTCTTATATAGACATCAAGAATTCATCACACAAGACTCAAGGAATGAGTTTGAGGGCTAATTTTACCCTTGGGCCCCACACCTGGAACATATGTAACCCCGTTTTGTTACAGTTTATGTAGGCGGGTCAAGCACCCTGTTGAGAAGTTCATTTCATTATATTCTCTTTTCTTTCATTTTTGTATGCTACATACCTGTCACCTACATGTCACAGATCCTGTAGTATACCTGGGCCAGAACTGAGTACATGGAAGGATTCTCTTTCCTCATCCTTCCACTATCTCTTGTCCTGACCCAGACTTTCTGTGTCTCATCACACCCTTTACATGTTACATGTCCATCAGATACAATGCCACCTTTCCGGGGAGGTGATCCAGATCAAAACCTCAAACCTCAATTCACCGCACAATCAGGACCAGAAGGCCCCAAACACCCTGGCTCTCAGACCAGAGGGGCATGATAATGGCAAGCCATCCCCCCTCGCACACACCAAACTGCACGTCACTCTCCTGCAGGTAGGTGTGCCTGCCTGCACGCCAAATATATGCAATCCTAAAAGCATATTTATATGCGTTTAGGACCTGGGCTGTCCCATAAGACCCAGGCATGGGTCCTATGGGACGGCCCCATGGATTCTTTTTTTTTCAAAAAAAAAAAAAATAGCCCCCTCGGCCTAGACAAGCTGAGGTCACACTGCCAGGAGGAACCCCTCTTGGAAAGCGTCCACATGCCAGCTTCTTTCCTCCCGGTGCGCTGGTTTTCAAAACAGCTCTTTGGAAGGAATCGCTTCCAACAAGCTGGTCAGTGGTATGTAATGAGAATACTGACCCATAGACATGCACTCTGTTTGCTTTGGCTGTCGATAGTCATCACTGGTATTAGAACTTGCCTGCATTTCAGTTTTGACTTTGTTGATATTAGCTTTGAGACGCATGTTGCAGATCAAGTAGTTACACAGATGGGTAGCTCATCTTGACTGTCCAGCCAGTCCAAATGTGAGGATTGACTCACACAGTCCTTCACATTTGATGATTGGACTTGAGGCATCAGCCTCATGATGCATTGTGCAGCTGATATTGTGTTCTTTAAGTGTCCCGGATCAGGAGAATTTTGTTGCCTGACGCAGAACGACCAGAATAGAGATGGCACTTGATACTTGTTTGCAAGTACTTGCTGCTTGTTGGCATGTAACTGGGACCTGTTTTTTGGTACCAGGTGCCTGAAAAAAGGTTCTAGGTAGCTGCCACAGGTCCCATGTACATGACAGTTGGTCATAAATACCTACCAATATGTTCCAGGTACATGCCAACAAGCAGCAAGTACTTTCAAACAAGTATCAAGTGCCATCTCTAGACCAGAAAATGTGGAAGAGCTCTCTAGACATGAGGAGTTTGGGTAAAGCCCTTAAATAACGCTTGAACAAACTGGCAGGTATGTACAGTGGGTGGACCGTTGTTTTTGCCTGCTTGTTTTGGATCCCAGAGCTTCAAAGCACCAGATTAAAGTCATGAGACTTGGTCAAGTGGTGCAGAATAGGTCGCAAAAAATGAATATGAAAAAATAAAAACAAAAAACAAAGTTTCAAATTTTGTGAAAAAAATAAAAAATAAAATTGATTTTTTTTTTTTTTCAAAAGCTTTGATATTCATTTTGGGGGAGTGGGAGTGCTGAGAGAAAGGTAGATTGGCATATTATAAGAATGATTATAAATGAAAATTTTGGAAAAATTGGTTTCCAGATGGCTTCAAACAGATGTTGAGTGAGGCATTCACCAGCCCACATTGCAGTAAAGCACTAGAATTTACTGTTTTGGCTCCAATCTGGACAACCAACCTGGCTCAACCTTTTTTGGTTCCGATTTTTTTCACTTATAATCAATCTTGCCATGTTCCACCAATGTTTCTCTCAGCACTCCCACTCCCCCAAAATGAATGACAAAGCTTTTGGAAAAAAACCATTTTTATTTTTTATTTTTTCCAAAATTTAAAACTTTGTTTTTTTGTTTTTATTTTTTCATATTCATTTTCTGGGACCTATTCTGCACCACTTCACCAAGTCTTGTGACTCAAAGTTTGTGCTTTAAAGCTGTAGAATCCAAAACAGGCAGCCAAAAATAACTGTCCACCCACTGTACACCAGCTTGTTGGAAGGAGTCCCTTCCAACAAGCTGGTATAAAAACCAGCTTGCCAGGAGGAACCCCTCCCAACAAGCTGGGATAAAAACCAGCTTGCAGGGAGGAACCCCTCCTGACAAGCTGGCATGTAGACGCTTGCCGGGGAGGGGTTCCTCCTGGCGGTGTGACCCCGGCCTCTCTAGGCCAAGGGGGCTTGTTTTTTTTTCTTCTTTTTTTTGAAAAAAAAAAATCATGGGGCTGTCCCATAGGACCCATGCCTGGGTCCTATGGGACAGCCCAGGTCCTAAACGCATATCAATATGTGTTTAGGACTGCATATATCTGGTGTGCAGGCAGACAAGTGGTATTCCTGCCTGCATGCCATTCTGTAATGGCGTGCGGGTGTGCACGCCAATCTGCGGATGGCGTGCGAGGAGGGGTGGCTTGCCATTATCATGCCCCATGGTGTAGTCTTCCAAACAATCCAGCTCCAGACAATGTTTTTCTTTCTTTTTTTTTTGATAACCGAGACTGGAAGCTTCCTTGGTTTGGCTGTAACATCACATACATTCTGCAATCCCCCATGTATTCCAAAACAAAACAAAATCAAGGCCATCATGAATATGTTGCCCTTATGTACATACTAGGCCAAATATTTCCTATCCCTCCCCCAAACAAAAACACCAGAGGAGACCAGTGTCAACACTGGCCCACTAGGCTCAACGTTAGCATAGCTGCCGTGGCAGCAGCCTTTTTTTTGTGTAGTGTTAGAACCTAGTGTGCACTACCACCCACTACGCTATGCTAACAACACACCTTTTTTTTAGGTAATGTTAGCGCGCTGCTACTGCCACTACACAGTGTTAGCGCGCTGCTACTGCCACTACGCGGTGTTACGCTAAGCTACATTGCTGTTAGCGACACAAAAAAGGCCAAAAAAAACCCGCGCTAAAAAAGCGCTGTAGCTTAGCGTAGCAGACGCTTGTTTGCGCTCCATGGTGTTATAGTGTTAGTGTAGATGAATGAGATAAAGCTCACACCCTTTGGCGCCTGTGTGTGTAGTGTAGTGCAATTTGCAGATTTGGGCTACACTACGCTAAATGTAGCTACACTAAA